AGCATTGTTATGATCTGGCCTTAGACTAAGAATAGCTAAGAGCATCGTTATAATCTGGCCTTAGACTAAGATTAGCTAAGAGCGTTGTTATTATTTGGCCTTAGATTAAGAATAATTTAAGGGCACTGTCAGAATAATATTTGAATTGAATAAAATGTGTTGATATGAACTGAACATTATCAAAACTATGAATGTCTGAGATGAACATTGTGTGCATGATATCAAATGATTTGATTATGAATTTAGATTCAGTTTATATGGATGTTCGATGCATTAGATATGCTTACTCAGCTTTACCGCTGAGCGTGTAGTGTGTTTTATTTGCTACACGCAGATAAAATAGAAAGACCAATGTGATCCTGGCAGCAGATGGGGCGAGATTGTCGGGATGGATGTGACAAGTTTGAAATGATTTATGATATGTCAATATTAAATTCGCTTCCGCAATATTATTGAATACTCCGTACTGTATATGTTATGAAAAATATTATTGTGATAAATAAAGTTGTTTGAAAAGTTTTAAATTTTCACAATTACCAAGTTAAATACTTTAGTCCGAAAGGGGCTGCAGACCTGGACGGATTAGGGTGTTACAATTTGGTATCGGAGCAAATGGTTTTAAAACTGATCTTCGGATCAAAATTTGATTTTTTAAAAAAATGTTGGTCACATCCACGACTCTCGCATCCCTCTGCTCCAGGAAAAGGTATGAGAATTTACTTAGTAAATATTGACTATATTGAATTCTCATTAGATAACATTTGTTAGTACTGAAATCGTATCGAGCATACACTCAAGTTGAATTTTTCGTACTCGGTGAAGAGACGAAATAATAAAAAAAATATACGACCTCTAATACGTTATCAACGTACGCATCGCATTGCGAATAACGAAACTGATCTCCATCGAAAGGACGTACGAAAGTGACACGACTATGAAGAAACGTCTAATGTTGAATAACATCCGCGAAGCTGCTGTCAAAGATCCTCATGTGGACTGAAGACGATCGGAATGCTGATTTAAACGAGAACGTTTAGAATCAATAAACTTTGTATCCCATTCTGATGTCTGATTCATTACAGCACAATATGTGATTATATTGTGTGAATCGAAATCATTCGTTAATCGAAAATTCCTTACAAAATCTCATCGGAATACCCTACAAGGAGATTGACAATATCCTTAATATGAATTGGCTGAACGTCGTTGCTATTGACAACTTGTGATGAAGAATTCCTCAACTGAAGACCAATGATGTTAACCTCATATAGGTGAAAGCAAAGCTGATTATTAAACCGACTGAATTCATCTCGATTGAGTATGCAAATGTAGATGGATCGATTAAACTCCATATCAATTACCGTCAAATGAAATCGTTATCCTTATCTCGTATCGATGACTTATTTGATCAGCTTGGAGGACCCATTGTGTTCTCTAAGATTGACTTACGGTCAGGATACTATCAAAACCCTGTTAAGAAACTCGAACAAACTCACAATCAAGAATCGCTACCCTTTACTATGAATTGACGAATTGTTTGGTCAAATTCAAAGGAACCTACTTGTTAGAAATGATGGACAGCTCAACCTTGTTGAATGGAGTGACGCCTTGTAGTAAAATGACTAGTGACTTAAACATTGATGAAGTCTGTTTGAACAAATATCTGTTATCAACTCGTGTGTTCAAGTAGAGAACTCTAATGAGGAAATTTCTGTTATTGTAGAATGAGTCAAGAAACCGTTCATGGTCAAGCTAACCAAGCTTCAAACAACAAACCCGAAAATGTTCATACTGAAGCATCCAGTTTCACACCTCCTATTCAAACTGAACAAGTGAACTCACAACATATTCCCCAAAATGATCAAAATGTCGGAGGTCAACCTGATGCTATGTTACCTACCTTAATGGTAAACTTCTTGCAACAAATGACTCATGCCCCTATGTTTCAACCACCTCCACCACCACTTCCTTTGATCACTTTAAAAACCTTGAAAGATAATGGTGCTGAGGAGTTCCTGGGAGATCGAATTGCCGAACCCCAGATCGCTCTTGAATGGATCGAGCAGACCGCTCGTGTACTACAAAATCTGAACATACCTCTTACTGATCATCCAAAATTTGCATCTCAATTGCTCCGCAAGGAAGCCTATGAATGGTGGAAACGCACTGACGAAAATCCAAACACACCCAAACCATGGACTTGGGAATTCTTCGATTGGGCGTTCAAGAAGGAATATATACCAGCTCGATTCCGTGAAGAAAAGCGTGCTGAATTTATTCAATTGAAGCAAGGAGATATGACACTCCCTGAATACCGACAAAGATTTGTCCATCTCGCTCAATTTGCACCCACACTGGTGAGCACAGCGGCTGACCGCATTGAAGAGTTTCGCAATAGACTTCGACCTGATCTCAGGCCACACGTATCTACTATTCAAACTATGGATTTCATTGAGGCATACGACCTAATCTCTAAAGCCGACAAAGATCTAAGTGATTATTATGAAAGTTTGAAGATTGAAGTTGTCAATGTAAATGAACAACCCAATACAAGTGGGAAGAGACCTCTGCAAGAAATTGATAGTGCCCTACACTTAAAAAGGGGAAAATCAATGACAATTCAATCGACGTCATCCATGAACAAAATGAGAGTATGGAAACATCCAAAGTGTAACGTTTGTAAAAGACACCATCCAGGAGATTGCTGGCGTGCGCAAGGATTATGTCTAAGTTGTGGTAAACCTGAACATTTTCAACGAGAATGTCCCTCTAACCCTAAATCATATTCGGTTACTTCTGTCCAAAATCAACCAGTTCCCTCACGAACAAGTCAACGTTCTAAAACACAAAACAATTCAAAGAATCCAACCCAATGATGATACTCTGTGAAGATCCTAAGGCGCTACAAGGGCTCGAGGATATATTGATAATGTAGAAACCTTATGTAAACAAGAAATTATCTTTCGGTTTGTATCCCAAGAATATTCGTAACTGTTTGAATCTTCGTGTGTTGAACACTTTGTATAATAAAATCTTTCATCTTGAAGAAAATGTTTGATATTTACATGATGCATTCTGACGTTGAAAATAAATATTTTTCTGACTTGCACTGGCCATGCAGCTTAGAATAATATTTATGGTTAACTCATAACGTTCATAGACAATATTATTCCAACACAAATTCAACTGAATTTACATAAAGTAATATTACAAATGCAATTCTAAATCTAATCCCCCGGGATTTACAAACTCGTCATAATTAGCCCCAGGACCCGGAAAAGCTTTAGCAAACGCTAGCTTGTCTAAAAGTTCATCAATAAAGAAAGAAGAAATAAAAAGCTTCCTCTGATTCAAAGCCATGAA